TAGTCCCAGCTATTCAGGAGGCTAAGGCAGGAGGATCGCTTGAGCGTAGGACCACACATTGAGACCCTATGTCTAAAAAAATTGTTTTAATTCTTAAAATATTTATACCCTTTATGTAGTCATATCACAGCTGATGTTTCAGAGTTTAGACTGAGAAATCTATAGGCCTTAAATTATTACATTATTCAGAAATGCAAGTAACAATAAATAACATTTAAGTGCTTACTTTGCACCAAAAATTATGCTTAACTCATTAACACCTAATCCTCATCCTAATCCAATGAAGTAGATATTGTTAAAACTCTAATTTTAACAGTAAGTAAACTGAGGCACAAACCGGTTAAGGAATTTGCTCAAGGATGTATAATTTTCAACTAGCAGCGTGACTTGAATTCAGATGCCTAATTCCCAAATCAAAAATCTTACCACTGTAGCAGTATGTCCCAAGTATACCATCAATGGCACATAAAATGATTTTAGGTAGAATAAACAGACTTATCTCATTTTAGTATCTACATATAACCAACTATAAATAGCATATCAATTTCATAATAGTTACATAAAGTTTTCCACTGAAATAAATGTATAAAAAAATTTTACTCAAATTTTTAAAAGAAAAGCATGATAATGACTGGCCAGAAATATGGAAAAATAGAAAAAGTCTCATTCTCTGAAGAGAAATTTGGAGTGCTTTTGTTTTCCTTTTCCTGGAATTTCAAAGTTCCTAAAATGTTTATGTAAAAAATATTCAGTATGCAAAAATTCTTCCTGTTCTAACCCTTCAAAACATAGGCAATTACATTATTATCAAGTTTGTTTTCCATTGGCTCATCTCACAATATTTATTTATTTATTTATTTATTTATATTATTTGTCAGGGAATACAACCCTGGTTTCCTACGAGACAGGGAGGGTATCATGAAATTTTAATATCTCCACCTCTGTGCTCTTTCCCACCTCTGACTGAGCATCCTTCTCGTTCAGCAAGTAATTTCCTGACATGTATCACAATTTCTTTTTCTTCGTTTTATCCTATCTTATACCCTATAGCTCCAAGAATAGGATACCTGTTTATTACAAGGGCCCAGAAATTCATTGCAAGGAAAAGGTCTGTGGGGACTTGGTAGGCATATACAAATATTTTTTCAAGGGCAAGATTACATAAATGCTGCTCCCTGAGGATTCCTCTGTATGTGATAAGTTGTCCACCTCTGGCACCCAAACAAAGAAACTCCAACTGGCAGAGAGAGAATGATTTTTATTTTTTATCCCTGAAAAACCCTAAAGAGCCACAGACCTACCCAAGTACTCATGTTCCCCTGATCAGACAGCTCTTATATCCTGGAGGTAGTATCAACAGGTGAACAAAAGCCATGTCTGGCCTTTCCATACATAGAGTGAACAGAACACAAGAATTCTCTGCACATTTAGGCAAGTCCTCTGAGGGCTCAGAGGTCCCATCTAATGACCTCCAGATGCCCGCCAGCTACACAAAGTGTACCCACACCCACCTGTGCATGTTCCCATTGGTGGTAAATGACTGGCCACACACGGTACACTTGTAAGGCCTCTCGCCTGAGTGCACTAGCATGTGGCGATCCAGGGAGCTGGCTGAGCTCAGTGACTTCCCGCAGATGCTGCATGAGTGGTCAGCTCCTCCAGTGTCCGTGTTGTGCTGTAGAAAGCAATTATTGCAGTGGTCACTTAAGATGGGCGAAAAACACGGCTATTAGCAAATGTTGATCCAGAGCTCTACTAAAAAAAAAAGAAAGAAAAAAAAAAAGTGACGTCCCTTGGCTATTATCTTCTGTTTCATTTTAAACATCTCCCCAATGGACCAAAATGCTCAGGAACATAGGCAGATAAATATTTTGCACGATCTTCCATTCTCACATGTTCCTGTTTAGAAAAATACTTCTATTGTAAGGCTCAGAGAGACCTGGGGTCTTTGTAGGTCTTTCCTTGAAAGATATGTAGATAAACCAACCACATACATTAACTCCTCTGAGCAGGACTCTCAACAATGAAGCAAGTAGGTAAAATTCCATCCTCACATTAAGAATCAACATCTCTTCTTCAAATTTGATGACTCGGGCCTGTTGTCAGAGAAAGAGAACTGAAACCTGCATAGAGTCGAGTTCTGGCCTCTGCAATGTAGTAAGAAGGAACAATTCTATCCAAACCCAAGTTACTTTAGTAACTTGATTATTCAGTACTCTGTTACGAGTTTAACAGATCATCATTCCTCCACTGTTCCACCAATATCCCATCACGATTCAGACACTGAAGAAGGGGGAGAAGGTGAAATCTCATAATCAAGGAGAAAAGCTAAAACACATTCCAAATATCAGGCAATTCTGCTATATTTAGACCAACATTAAAAAATAAATAAATAAAAACAAACGAGAGGTTGCACCTACAACCTCATTATATAGCTAGGGATTTGGTTTGTACTAACAAGCCAAACAGAGTGAAAAGTCGCTGTGATATGGATAGCCGGTTAGCTAGATGTCTGTGAAATTCTGAAAAGGTAACATGTGTTGACCTGGCACTTTGTCACAGTAACACGAACACAAAAAAAGTAGTTTTTTTTACATAACTAACCCTCAAAAAAATTAATCTACATTAAGCATAGCCACAACTTACTCATTAAAATCTCATCACCTTGCCTTCCATTGATGAAGAATAACTTAAAACAAAAATAGAAAAGCAGCCGCCCACCTGGCGAATGTGCATAGTCAGCTGGTGCTGGGTGGTGCAAATCTTTTCACACAGAGGGCAGTTATAGGAAGACTTCTCCTCTTTCGTTTCCTAAAAAGAGAAATTTAAAGGAAGATAAATTTCAAATCATGGTCAACTAGTGCCTCTTCTTTCTATAACAAGCAGCTGTGTCTAAGTGGCTGAGAGCAAGGGCTCTGGAGCCTGCCCAAATGTGAGCTCGGACAGGTCACTGTCCTGTCTGCCCTCGGTTTCCTCATTTTAAGATGGGAATAACAACCATCCACCACAGTGTGCTGTGGGGCAGATTAAATTAACACATGCAAAGCACTACAACACAGTGCCTGGTTCATAGTGAGTGCTCAATAAATATTAGCATTCTTTACTTATCAGACATTGTTTAATTATAAATTAATCCTCTGTGATGGCAAAAAATTAATTGCCAAGGAAGAGCTGAAAGGGAATACTTTTCTCCTCAAGTCTCACCCAGGCTCCAGGCATTTTTCACTGGGTTTCAAGGCCCTGAAGAGGTAATGAAATTCTCATCAGAGACATCCAGCCTAGCAGGAGTGGGAGTTCTCAGCAGCCGGCTGCGAACCCAGTGGGGACAAACGGCTCCTCTGCTCACTGCTAGCAGCTGCATGACACTGTTCATAAATAATAACGAAAACTATATAAAAAGGAGAAATCTGTCCATTATCAAGACCTTGACAGAGAGTAACAAAGACCCTGATCACTACCTGCTGAGGTGGCTCACTTTATGTTCCCTCAAAACAGATAGTACAAACTTCCTTCCTGCAGTATGCTTTACATTTTTAAGGAAAAAGCCAACCTCCTTCACATCCCTCTGTTACAGTTCCTACTTCCAAGTAATTCTAGAGAATTGCTAAGACCTGCCCACCATTGACTTCTCATCCACACAGTTATTAAGCACCAGGGGTCCCTGTTCCCATTCTCTAAACCTAGCTGAACCAGAGATGAAGATCTCTAGGAATCTGGAACTGAGACACTCACAGACTAAGATCAGTGGGTTTCCAAAGATCAGCCTTTTGAAATACACACGTCTAGACCAGATTCCCAAAACGCTGAATCAGAATCATGGGGGAGGGGGAAGAGTTAAACCTCAGACATCTGCTTGTCTCACAAGCTCCCCAGAAGATGCTGATCTGTGCACAGGTGTGGGGATGACTACATTACCAGTTAGGTGACCGTGATCACTTGAATTGAGGGTTCAAGTAATGCTGGGGCCAGGCCCCAGCACCTTTGCGAGCCCAAGCCAAGAGAAAGCAGCTGCAGAAAACAATGCTAACGACAGCAGGGGACCAGGTAGCCTGGGGCGTAGAGAGGTCGGCACTGACTCTGGGGCTGGATGTTCTGTCCAGGCTATAGATCACTTCCTGTCCTTGGGCATCTTTCAAGAGGTCTCTTTTTTCTTGCATGCATTTAAATAAATTTCCATCCCTTGCAAATCATACCAATTATTGAGCACTTACTATGTGCTAACTAAACTCTATATATACAGAACTGTCAGGTTTTTTTCATAACCACTAAGAACAGCCATTATTATGAATCCCATTTTCTGGGCAAGGAAACTGGGGTATAGAGAGATAAGTAACCTGTTCCAAGTCAGAGAACTATTAAGTAGTAGACACAGCATTACAACTTAGGCCAGCTGCTCACAGCCCATGCCCTAAACCACCATGCTATATAAAGTATAACCCCAAAATGGATTAACCCCAAGGCACAGAAAGGAAACACCCTTGTGGTTGTTCATGAGCGATGATGAAAATAAAAGTCACCCTGAAGACTATAAAAACAAATGGCGCCATAAACCAGAGGGCGGAGTGAAAGCATGACCGTGTCTCGTGTGGAGCAAGCTTCTCTCTCTCTCCTCTTCAAAGACTAACAATTCTCATTCTAAGCAATAGGAACCCTTTCCTAATCTGTAAAACTGGGTCTGAATACTAGATATACTACACTTTTTCTTACTCTAAAATTAAAAAGAATTAAGAATATGAATTCTACATAAGTCGAATCCTGGAGACTCTAAAAAACATTCCCAGCCTCACCCACCTATCTGCATACTTTAAGTCCTCTGAAAGGCATGATGTGTGTTACGCGTAACAGAGTGTTATACCTTCTCAGCTCAGTTCTACAGACAGAATGGAGATAGCCAAAGACCTCACAGAAAAGAATAAGATTAAAAGCAACAGCAATAAGATAATGAGGGCTATCTGAGGGCCAGGGCAAAAGCTGAGCAGAGTTCAAACTCTGGGTGGTTATTATTATTAAATTATTAAATCAGCAAGTATATATGCTCTGTGTGTGTGAAAGAGACAGGAGTCTCACTATGTTGCTCAGGCTGGTTTTGAACTCCCAGGCTCAAGTGATCCTCTTGCCTTAGCTGGGATTACAGGCGTGTACCACTGAACCCTGCTAATAATACATACATACTTTTAAAAATGTTTAAAAAGGACTGACCGGTAGGATGTAAAAGTATCTTAAAAAGTTAGGCCACAAGTGGCAAACCTCTTGGGGAGAAAATTTTTTGTTTAAAATTCATCTGTGTTTACCTTGAAGTAGATACCAGACAAACTGTACAACTGGGTATTGACTCTGTCAGGAGATCAGTAACTGACACTCAAACCTTCCCTGAGGCCGGCAGTGGAGCACTACAGATTATAATAGAGGCCCACAAAACCCAAAGACCAAAAGTTCATGCAGGGGATCCCAAAGTTACCCATACAGTGGGAAAAAGGGAAAAGCTACCTGGACTTTTATTTACAAAATATTCTCTATTTGTTGGCCTCCTCTTCCATTTTCCCTATGTATGGTGACTTTAGGGGCAACTTTGGGGACACCTTGTATTTTGAAATAAACCAAACAGAAAAGAGAACATTGTGATGCTAGAAGAGAGGCCCTGATGGAGAATTCTGAATCCAGTTACTGCAGCCGTGCTGGTGGAAGGAGCATATTTCCTGAGCTGAAAGATAAAATTAGCAGCTAATGTGATAACTAACCATTCCATAATGAAACAATCTGGCACCCTTGTCAGCATGCGACTGTGGCTAATCTGTCCTGGAACTCTGAGCTCGCACTGATGGGACTTTCCCTAGGCTCTCTCTCTCTCAGCCCTCCCCATCCAGTCTCCAGGTATGAAGATGCTTCCTTCCTCTCTGAACTTTCTCCTCACTGTGTTTTCTTTTTTTAGGTTAAGCACTGTATTTACCAGGCTACCTCTGGGTTCAGATCTCCTCTTCAAAACCAAAGCCAATGCACCAAATCCTAGAGGAGAAAGGAGGGGGGATGGAAGCACCCTGGCTAGCCTGCACACTTGCTTCCTCACACCTGGGGAGGCAACCTCCCCTGAGGCTGCAGGCCCCGGAGGCACTGTGGGTATCCCTCGGGGCCCTCACTACCAAATCTCAACTACAGCCTGGACTGGAGCCAACTCCATGTATTTAAGGAAAAGCTTTTTGCAATTACTATACTTTTTCCTGGTAAAGCAGAGAACGATGAGAAAGATGACTTGACTATCTTATTCATCCTGAAATGCCCAGCACCTGGCACAGAAGTTAGCTGAAAGTAGGAGCTGGATATATACTGTTTGATGGGTGGAAAGATGGAAGGATGGATGGATGGATGGATGGATGGACAGACAGTCACATGAGAATGGAAATAAACCTTTTCTTCTCAGAGCTAGCACTCCTTCTCCACTCAGGCCACAGTCTGAGTATTTTCTCAGGCACCCATAGGAAGAGAGGCACACGGAGACAAGGAAAAAAAGAGAGAGAGGAATCAATGTTCCAACCCTAAAACATCACAGAACTCTGCCAAGTTCTCAGCCTTGAGCAAGGTGTGGAGAAATGCATACTCCTACTCACTGGGGGAGTGGAGTTTAGGGCTGGTACAATTTCTCCTGGAGGGCAAGTTGTATCAAAAGCCTTAATTAAGGTCTACTTCTAAGAATTTATAGAAAACCCTCACAGTTGTGTACTCAGAGAATTCTGTACAAGGACATTCACAATAGGATTTTTAATAAAAAGGAAAATAAATTCTTAAATGTCCAATGATTTTGCTTTCTCATCCATCCCCAGTTCCTAGACAAAGTCAGGGTTTACTATAGCCGCTATTAAATCAGTGAAACCAAAAATTAAATATGCAGAAGTCAATTTATAGTCTATGGATTCAGAGAGAAAATGAGAATTATTCACCCTCTGCTTTCCTCCTTGACTACCCCATGGTGAACATGTTGCTGTCAACATAGCAACAACTTTTCAAAGTGTCCAACTGTACGTTAATTTAAAGGTTCGTCTTTTTTTCCAATAAAGGCAACATGAATTTTTAAAATACCATTAATCTTTCCCAATCTCACCTATGTACTCATTCTCACATTTCCTGATCTAACGCCCACTGAAAATCAGAAAGAATAAATAGTATCTTAAGTGGAGTCAAATTCTGTGCTTTTTCAAGGATGAAAAGCTGAACGTGGCTCGGCGCCTATAGCTCAACC